GACAGGCAAAGGACTCTAAAATTGGCAATTAAAAGGAGAAAAGTCTTTTGAGATAAGGTAGAAGTCTTTAACAAGGCTCACTACCTACTATAACCACAAGCAGTTAGAAGTCAGAGAAAAATCCCACAAACTTCCCCCAGAAAGAGACTTAAAGTCTCCACCAGCAGCACAAGTGGGAATGGCTTTGAACAATCCCATCTGATGCTAGTTTGTGATCGTGCCACTCTGACCCCATGTTTCTATGCTTCTACTTACTGACATGCAAAACTGAATGAGAGCACAAAGCTCAGCAGCTGCCAAGTACCTACTATTTCATTCCCATGCAGTTAAATGAAAGAGCTGTTAGCACTGAGCCTTCAAACACTTGCTAATCCCTCCTTCTCCAAACAGAGGGCAAGGAAATTGGTATGTGCTTTGACACAAACACTTCTCATGTTCTGCAAGTAGATGAGGGCAGCAACTACTGCTGGAGAAGAAATTACCAAGTGATACAAGAATTCACACATTTTCCCTAACAGGCTAAATATGACACTTGGTGTATAAACTCAACACAGACAACCAACCTATCAGCATTTCTCAAACTCCTGTTGGCCCTGCAAGCAGCACCATGTGAACACTATATACACCAACCTAGACAGCATGAAAAAATGAGCTTACCTCCTCAGGACTCTCATCCAGCTCTAGTGTCTCATCCTCTTCACTGTCTTTTCCTGCTTCTGGTGAAGATCCTTTGCTTTTCTTGGACTCTGGCTCATCAGGGTCTTCTAGCTGTTCACAGACAAAATCCATAAGAAATAACTTAAACCACAAGAACTAAGGTGTATCAGTTCCCATCTCTGAATTTATTCATGCTTCATCTCCCTGGAGCAACAAGTAGTTAGTATATATGGCAATAACAGTGGCCTACAGTATGCCTGTAAGCACACAATGCTCCATGTCCTGCCCTCCTCATCCCACAAAACTGTCTTCTCCAGCTGTAATCCAGATGGCCAGAAGATCACACTCTAGAAAGTTTGTTCTAGAAGTTCTTGCAGCATCACATGCAAACTCAAAATACAGAAGACATCAAAAGTCTAACTCAAGAGCAGCTTCTGGACCCCTCAGACAACAAAGACATCACTTCAGTTCTGTTTCCCAAAACAGCAACCAGATTTAACACGTTTCAGACCCATTTCCGTCCAAAGATAAGCACCTGGGCAAGAGCACAAGGGGCTACAGAGAGGATGTCTTACCTCCTGGATATAAGTGATATCCCAAACTCTCAGTTCACTGTCAGCAGTCCCAGTGATCAGGCGTTTCTCTTCAGATAGCAAAGCCATCCCCCAAATCTGTTCAAAAGCACAATGAGAAGAGCTGGTTTGTGACTTCTTTGACTATCATAACAATGCCAGAGCATCCTTAATTGATTTATTTAAACGGGAACCTAGAGAAGTCTGGATCTAACTGGGATTTCCTGTAGGGATACCCATATTCGAACTGTCAACCCTGTATGTTGATAACAGTTCTCAGATAGTTTGGAAGTCTCTTATTTCCTTTTCCCTGAAGCTGAATAACCACCAAAAATATATCACAGTTCCAGTTTACAATCCCTTAGAGCAAAAAAATGCACAAGGTGAGCCATGACCTGCAATGCAAAATCCTTCCATCCCTATGGTTCTCTGCACTTCCTCTTTACCTCAGTACGGTGTCCAACTAGAGTTTTGAAGCAATGCTGGGTATCCAGGTCCCACCATTTCACCAACGTGTCTTTGCCACTGGAACAAAAACAAAAACCCCAGGTCATGAAGAAAGATTGCTAGAGCGCGTGGAATTACATAAGCTGAGAAAAGCTGAAGAAATACAAAACCTTAAACATGTTGCAATGTATCACTGACCAGGCTACAACAAAAGCAGCCGCCTTCACTTTGAGTTGCTTTTCCCAACGGAGAATTACAGCTGTTACAGTTCCTCAGGGCTCCTGTATGATTAAGCGACCTTGAAAGCTCTTGCTTGTGGCTACATTATGCTACAATAATGCTAGAAGTGCACCAGAGAAAAGTAATTTGAACATTTATGTAGACTGCTTCTCTTCACCCTACAGGAATTAATACTTTTCTATTTTTCATAACTTTGCTAGAGCCAATTTTTTTGCTAATAAATTAAAATACAAAATTTGTTTTTCCATTACTAAGCTTACTCAGGAAAAAAGAAAAATCACTACAGGTGATACTTATTGTCAATGCATGCCTTTTGCTACACAGCAGTCTAAGGTAAATTGTACAGCTGAAAATCCAACAAAAACTTCTGCACATAGAGAACTGTAGTAAGCTTCTTATGCTAAAAGATTAACAACAACAACAAAAAAAGTAACTATTTTTGCATCCTCAAAGACAAGATTCGAAATTGTATTAGGAAACCAGCATCATCTGCTAAAATAATAAAATGTATTTCCTTTGCAAAAAAGCAAAAAAAGGACACACAAGAAACTTGTTCTAATTTTACACTGAACTGATTGAGTGCACCTATTAGGTGACAGTAAATACAAACATTAGTGACTGATATTTGAGCAAGAGTATCTTTTGTCAACTGATTATTATTGAAGGCACACAATCATCTTGCTGATGTTTAACTAAAAACCAACTCAGTAAAACACCGAGTTTAATTAATCCATTTAATTATTACCTATTAGGAAGACATTTTTCTGTGACGCTGCTGCACAAGTTACACATACAGAAGACTACTTAATTACTTATCAAAAAATGGTGGTATGCAAAATGAACACATTATTACTATTCATTGTTATGATAATTCTAAGCTGCTAAGTCTACCGGTAAGTTAAAATCTTTTTCAAATGTTACTTTCCAGAATCTGCCATTTGTCTTCTGCTTAACATACCTGGAATTCAGGCATCAGATTCACAAAATGTGTGGACATGCTGGAATGTTTGTGAACTCATTTCTTCATCACAATATAATCACAGAATCACAGAATTGTAGGGGTTGGAAGGGACCTCCAGAGATCATCGATTCCAATCCCCCTGCCAAAGCAGGTTCCCTACACCAGGTACTCATACAGGTCTCATACGTATGGGTAGGACTTTGAGTAACCTGGTCTAGTACAAAGTGCTCCTGCCTATGGCAGGAGGTTTAACTAGGTGGTCTTTAAAGTTCCTTCTAACCCAAACCATTCTACGATGCAAAACAATCTCATCTTTTTTGAGCAGTTAAAGCACAGAAAAAGCTGTGATTCTAGAAAACAAATACAAATGGCTACAGCACCTAGAACATACGAATAGCAAGTAAAAGTGATTATTTTTCTTATTTACTGCTACACTCAGCCTGGCTTACCTGGTGACCAGCAGGTTCTTCTCCTTCAAGAAAAGGACTTGAGTGACAGCATCCTTGTGTCCTTTCAGCCGGTACAAACCGCTCTCATTGATGACATCCCACACAATGACATCTGTATCCTGGAACAGATAAAGTGTCACCAAGGGACCAGTTTCTCTCTACAAAATGCCTACATCTGCTATGAGACTGAAGAGACTACTTAAAATCAAGCTTTCTCAGTCTGAACTGGAATGTTAAGGATGATGAACGTAAACGACAGCCCCTCCATCGATGAGCTTTCAGACCAATAAATGCACTTCTGTCCTGGCTTGAGTCACTTTCACTACTCCTGACCTCACAATCTTCTTCACCTTCAGTAGCTCTGCTAGTACCCTCCCTTCTTCTGAGCCCAAGACTCTCCTAGCTTCAAACTCCCTAAAACTACTGTCATCTTGCAGCTCCAAATCCATTCAGTGCCATCACAGCATCGTAGAATTACATAATGGCTTGGGTTGGAAGAGACCCCAAGGACCATCAAGTTCCAAGCAGGGTCACCAACCCCCAGATCTGGTACTAGGTCAGATTACCCAGGGCCATCCCCTGCTACAGGCAGATGCCACATCACCCCCTTAAAATACCAAACATTTTAGCCCAGGTCAACTTTCCCAACAGATCACCTCTTTTGCCCTTTGTGAGAGGGCTTGTCCTCCTGATGTGCAGAGCTCACCTTTGAGCCGGACACCAGCCGGCCCCCCAGCTGGTCATACTGCAGTGCTGTGACCGCAGCCTTGTGCCCATTGAAAGCGACGCTCGCTTCCCCGCTCAGGAGGCTGAAGATACGGATCGAGCCATCTTCATAGCCAACAGCCAGGTGCAACCCATCAGGAGAAGGGCGGAGGAAACTGACTTCATGCTTGGAACCTTTAAGGATAAGGACCTGTGATTTTTAGGAGACAAAAAAAAAAAAAAACGTTGGTAAATGATACGTCAGAGCCATATACACAAAAGAAAAAACAGAACAAGAGAATATCCCAAGTTGGAAGGGTCTGTTAACGGTCTGATAAGGGTCTGAGAATGGTGTCCAAACGCTCCTTGCACTCTGGCACTCAGTACTGTGCCCACTACCCCAGGCAGCCCATTCCATGCCCAGCGCCCCGTGATGCAGACCCTGTCCCTCACCCCCAGCTGCCCTCCCCTGACAGCTCCATGCCGTTCCCTCGGGCCCTGTCGCTGTCACACAAAGCAGAGCTCAGCGCTGCCCCTCCGCTCCCTGTGAGGAGCTGCAGCCGCCATCAGGCCTCCCCTCAGCTCCTCTGCTCTGCGCTGAGCAAGCACGGGACAGACAAACCAAAGGAATACATTCTGCTCTCGCACTGAACTCCCAAACAAGCACTTTCAATATTCTTAAGGCCGTGCCGCCCGCCCCGCACCCGCTCACCTTCTCTCCTTTCCGCGCGTCCCACACGAAGACGTGCTCGCAGGCCGGCACGGCCACGCAGCGGCCCCGCTCGCCTCGCAGCGTCACGAAGGCGGCGTTGCCCTTGGCGCTGCCCACCAACCCGAAGAGCGCGGCGGGCGCGTAGCGCAGGTACTGCTTGGTCAGCCCCATGGCCGCACGTGCCCGTGCCCCACAGCCGGCACCGGAGGTGCGTCAGAGCCAGGCGGGGCGCGGCGGACGGAAGCGGAAACGCTGGGCGGCCGCTCCGCTTTTCTGGGTGATGTCGGCGAAGCGGCGGTGGATTGCAGGCTCAGGCCGTGCGGGCGCGGCGCGGCCCGCGGGTGAGTCGGCGGCGTGATTGGCTTGTCTTTGCTGCTTACAGCCTGCGTTCGGGTTGGAGGTGGGGTCTGCTTCGAGGGTATTTTTTTATTATTATTTTTTATTTCTTTTATTTCTTATTGAAATATGTTCTCTTGTTCCTGTTTTGGAACTGTCATTATGCGGGCGCTGCTTTGCCAAAGCTGTTACGGATGGAAGATCGTGAATAAGAGGTGCCTGTGCGGCAGGCTGAAGCTGTGTCGGGGTGGCTTTCATTCGCTATCCAGGTTCTGCAGAAGTGTAGCAGCCCGGTGTTACCTGCTCGTAGCTGTGCAGAGCTCGGGTCTTCATCCAGCAACCCGGGTTATTGCTGACCTTCCAAAAAAAAAAAAAAAAAAAAAGGTCAGATGGCCTTTCCTGTTGTGTTTTGATGCTAGATTTCTTTTTTTCTTGTTAGAGGTGTTTGGGGTTTGGTGGAGTTTTCTTGATGGTTGGGCAGAGGTGGAGGGAGCAGACACTTGTATTCTTTTGTGTTTGTTTTTAAGCATGACCCTAAGCCTGTTCTAAGGAATAGTCATGCACACCCTGCAGTAAATTTGCTTCTTTATAGGAATAAATAGTCCTTTCTAGGCTTGGGAATGTGCTTTCTGCATTTTCAGAATAAGAGATCGCGAATCAGTTGGACCAGGTAAATAGAGAAGGTGTTTTTTGTCATGCACTGCTTAAAAAAAAAAATATTTGCCTTGTCCTTTGTAATACAGCTGACCAAACTAGGAAGGAAGAGAAGCTGAGTTGGAGATAATTCTGTTAGTTGTAGTTGTGTTGTGGTCTGCACGGGAATTGCATTTTGTTAACAGCTGGTGACCTGGTTTGATTTCCTTCCCTTAAGCATCCGGAAGACTCCATTGAGAATTGGAGTGTGACAAGTTAAGAGGAGAAAAGAAGTTGTTCCTTCCATTCCATGGATCCCTTGGGTGCTCCTTCCCAGTTTGTGGATATTGACAGTCTGCCAGGCTGGAGTAATGTCCGTGAGGCTACCCAGGTGGATTCTTACCAAAATCCTGTTGAAAAAGCTCAAGTCGATGTTAGGTCACCCTTTCCATACAGGAAAGACCTCAATGCAAAAATTGTCTTGTGGTAAGTTCCATATGGCTCTAGTGTCTGCCATCACTTCTCCATTTACTGCTTCCTACAGTGCTATAGAAAAAAAGCTTTCAAGCCCTCCTTTCTTGAAACAAGCATTACAGATCTGAGAGGAAAATATTTTTTTTGTTCACTGGAAATCTGCAAATCTGATGTTTGCTATGCTCTATGTTGTAAATTACATGTTCATAGGCATTCCTTGATGCAGCAGACCAAAATTATACTTCCTGCTGCCATACTGGGTTTTTAATAATAAAACCTAGCCAGATGCTGATACCTTTTAAAATTTATTTAAAATATGTACGCTTGTTGTCTACGTGTTTTTTTTTCCTTTCCTTTGCTGGCTTTATCAGTATTTTTTATGTGGTTCTTTTATGTGGTTTGCTTGGTCCATTTTTTTGTTTTCCTTCCTCTCTCCGTTCTCTATCTTCCTGTCTCCATGCGTTTTCTACCACTTTCGTGTGCTAAGGTGAACCTGCTCCATCAGTTTTTCTTTCCTCTGTATCAGATACTCAAACCTACTCTCTAGATGAGTAACTCTGTTAAGCAGTATAAACAGAGGATTTTTCAGGGTGCAGATTCAGGGATCAGCCTCTTTCCCGGTTCATGCATGTAGGAAATAAGGCTGTTTGTGGATTTCCTGAACCAATCAAAGAAATAAGAAAAACTAAAAGCTAAACATCTGCTGTGACTTGGATTTGGGTAAAATAAGCTTGTGCACTTTGAACTGTCGTTTGAATCTCTTCCTGTGCGTGGGGATTGTTTCCCTTCCTATGCTCTTTGATTCCAAAATCCGTAATGACTATTTCTGTGACAAAAAGCAGGTCAGAGTTCTGCTGTTCCATCTTCTTGCATGGATCTCTGCATTGTTTATCTTCTGCTTGTCTGACCCTTATTCAGCAGTGTCAACATGATCACATAGTGAGTTCACAATTTTGGAACAAAAGCAATGAATACTTTACTAGTTGCAATGTTACATGAGATCTTTACTGAGGAAGACCAGCAGTGAGGTGCCCTGGATAATGTTCCTGCAGACCAACAAAAAAAGCAGATAGAAATATTTGTTAACACTTAGGAAATAATACGCCATGTGGACTGTCATCTTATCTCTAAGATATGAGACCATATGTCCCACTTTTGGAACATATTACATTCTATGCTGCTTTGCATGTTCTGCTGACTAAACCAGCCTACACACACAACTACAACACTGTTTTATGTGTATATCCCTAAGTTTACTATTAAAGTTAAGAATTTTCAAGGAAATGAAGGATCATGTGCAGTCAGTCTCTATCAGTGACAAAGGATGATTCTGCATGGTGAGCACATCAGGGTACACTACACTCTGTGGGATATTGCTAATGCTTTAACATATCACAGACAAACAAGGAAATGCTCATTTGAGAATATGCTGCTTAATCTGACATGTAACCTGCAATGAACTGTTTCCTCAGGAAAGGAGACGTAGCGTTACTGAACTGTACAGCCATAGTGAATACAAGTAACGAGTCTCTCACCGATAAGAACCCAGTATCTGAAAGTATTTTCATGCATGCTGGGCCTGACCTGAAGGATGAACTTCAGAAGCTCAAGGGTAAGTAGCACAAGATGGCTTTTCTTCTGAAATCTGCAGTCCTTGCATAGTTTGAGGAATCGCTATTTGGGCATGAACTAAAATCAGGATGCAGCTTTTTCCTTTTTTTCCCTGGTGTCTGTTATTAAGGTGAAATAAAGAGAGGAAGATAGACTCACATATACTCCTCCACTTTTGTCATTCAAATTACAGATCATTGAAAACTTTTGACAGGCCTGCAAGTTGCAGAGCACATACTTTGTGTTACAAGAATTCCCATTATTATTTGAAGCTACTTGGAATGGCTTGCTCATCTGAGCTTTTACTGTAGTTGGAACCTGTCTTACATAGCTTCAGGTTTTGTTCTTGCCCTGCTCAGTGTGTATCTGCTTGGTGAGTGGAAGAAATAAATTTAAGTTTGCCATTGCAGGAATTGAGTGAGTTTCAAAACAGGCAGTGTATCCTTTCTCTTCCTATCTTTCAGGAAGTAATTTATTCTCAATGCCTATAAATAAAAATGAGTGTTTGGGTTTTGTTTTTGTTTTGTGTGAGGAATCAAGAGTTTATAGTTATCCAAGGTCATACCAGAGTCTAATACAGGTTGCAGTTAAAATTAAGGTTGCTCAGAAGTATGGTACTGAGCTGAATTTTGAGACCAGACTGATTCCTGAGTGATACTGATTACTCTATTGGATCCTGTTAGAATCCTGCTACATATATTCATTCTTCTGAAATAAACTTGGGCTTCTTTTAGTTCATTATGAGGTGGGATGGGAGGGACAAGGTTTCAAAGAGGCCTTAAAATTCAAGGACTTTCAGCTCTATAGGAAGTTCTCTGTAAAAATTGGGCTTAGTTCCTTAAATTCCTTTTGCCATCCTGAACCATATGTGGTTTAAAGAGTGTCTGCACTCTTTAATGCATGCTACAGATTTATTTCTCTGTTTTTGATGGTTTTCCTTCAGTCTTGAGATGGAATCCTTTCAGAAATGAATTCTTTTCTGACAGTATACTGATTGGCATGTTGTGTGGGAGAAGAAAGAGAAGCTAGATTATGACTTTGTTATGGACTCTTTAATATGAGTTTAACAGTAGCAGAAACAGAAGGGGCCTTGGATAAGAACCTAGTTAATCATTCATCAACTCAACTTCCTTTTTGTGCTCTTTTTTTCTTTCTTTCCTTTTTTTTTTTTTTTTCTTCCATAGATTGTTCTTGATAAGAAGTGAAAATGCATGGGTTTTAGTCTAAAGCTGTAGAATGAGTGTAGTGGTGATTTTCAGCTCAGTTATTCCTAATTCTCTCTCTTTCATATACATATTTATATATATTTCATACAGTCCAAGGAAAATCATGATTTTTAAAGCATGTGATATGCTGACTTTTGAAGAATTGTGCTTTCTTTAAAACTTCTGTGTTCCTGGGAACAGTGTAGTTTCAATTAACAAAGAAATACTATAGCCAAGGGCTCAGACTTGCATGTGAACTGCTATTGATATATGCTTTCCTATCCACGCATGCTTGTTGCAGTCTAATAAAGACCTTCTGTAATAGCAAATCCTAGTAATCTTCCAATTCCAGTGTGGCTTTTTTTCCACTGCATGCATTTTCTCCACTCTAACATTCCAAAGTACAAGAGGCTGCTGTAGTGTTTGAAATATCACCAGGTAAACAATAAGATTTCCCAAACCTTGATCTTGCGTAAGTCACTACTGGCTCACCTCTCTCCATATGTTAAAACAGGAATTACACTTGCTGCTTAATTTAGTTTTGTAAATTTTGTAGAGCTCTCTACATAGAAAGCGTTGGGAAGCACTAAGTGTGATGTCAGTGTAGTTAGAAATAACTGATTCTGCATCTAGTTGTCTGAATGTATTAGTTTCCCTCCCGAGTTCAGAGCTGTACCTCAGGCTTGCTTCATTCTTTTCTAAAAGAGAAAATACTTCAAATGATTTTTATTACAGGTCTTGGGTTGCTCCTTTGAGTTTGTGTGACTTCAATGGACCAAAGAGAAGGAATAGAATCACAAAATATTTTGGGTTGGAAGGGACCTTAAAGATGATCTGATTCCATCCCCCTGCCATGGACGGGGACACCTCTCTCTAGACCAGGCCACCCAGAGACCCATCTGGCCTTGAACACCTCTAGGGTTGGCTTCTCCAGGCAGCCTGTTCCAGTTCCTCATCACCCTTGTTGTGAAGAATTTTAGCATAACAACTAACTGAAGTCTTCCCTTTTTTAGTTTAAAGCCAATTAACCCTTTGTCCTGTCACTTGATAGAGTCTCTCTCCAGTTTTCTTATAGGCCTTCTTAGGAACTGAAACACTTCTGTAAGGTTTCCCTGGAACATTATTTTCTTCAGGATGAACAATTGGAGCTCCTTCAACCTGTCTTCATAGGAGAAAATAGCTTGATATTTGATACATTTACTCCTTTGATTTTATCAACTAATTTTCCCACCTTGAATGTATCTAGTTGTGCTCTCCTGAGTTGAAGCATTTCAAAGGATGTGCAGTAGTTTGAAATATATGCTTGGTATGCTGTTGTATTCTTCCTTCTTAATCCAGAAGAAACAAAGTGGACATCTGTAAAAATAATGACATGATTTGTAAGATTAAAAGAAGTTCATGAAGAGTTAGCGTAAAGGAAATGTGTTGTTGCTGTTAAGAAGGCGTGCTGTAAGTCTTCAGTAAGATTCTCAATCTGAAACACATCTTGCCATAAAATATGCTTTTCAATGCTGTGATACAGCCTGAGCACCATAACAAATACAGTGGAGAAGGAGAAGAGGTAAGCATTCTTGTTCAGCATGAAGCTTCCTAATTGACTTGAGCCAAGCTATAGCAGTTCTGCTAAAAGAAGGGTTGTCCTAGCCACTTGTTCATATTTCATTCTTTTTCATGGGCAATAGCAATCTATAAGATCAGGTTAAAAACTAATCCAGTGAAAAGATTCATTTTCAGTCAGGCCTGAAAGCTTAAGTGGCTCAGTGCAGCTGTACAAGCAAAAGAAAGAAGGTGGGAAATGCTCCCCCTTGAGGGCAGGGAAAGAGGACTGAAAGGAGTACTTCATCTGTTCAAAACCACAGTAGGCTTGATTTCATGTGAAGTGACTTAGTTGAAGAAGGGGGAAAGTTAGCAGACTATTCTTCCAGGTGCATTTCTTAAAGGAAAGACAGACTTCAAGCACCACAGCAGTTCCTGGATTTTTTTATTTTTTTATTTTTTTTTGACCCAAAATGTCTTGACAGAGTGAATAAAGAACAAGGGCCTGTGGATGTCTTTAAGGATTCTGATAAACTGATTTCCTAACAAAAGACTGCAGGAGTTACATAGGACTAAATTGCAGAGACCTGCCAAAGAGAAATGTAAACTAAAGTGAGGTAAAGGTGTGTGCTAGCATGTAGAAAATGCTACTAGAGTATGTAACTGGAGGGTGCGGGAAGTAGATTAAATGTGTTGTTTTAACTTGGTTGCCTTCAGGTTAGACATCTGGTCTGTCAAGAAAGGTATGATCTCCTTTGAGAATCATACTTTTGCCTTGTGGACACTAAGAAATTAGCAAAACAATGAATGTAACCTTGTTCTGGGAGCGTAGGTGAAATGTGAGCTCAGTCTTTTTCTGTTTTCAGGAAGGTTTGCCAGCAGCTGTAAAGATTTATTTTGGATAAAAAGACTGCAAAGCTCCTTAAAGCAGTCTCTGAAATCCAAATAGTTAAATTCTGAAGGATACTTGTGTTGGTGTTCTCTATGTAGCATAGTAAGCACTCAAGACAGCACTTCCAGCAATTTATGGTTTGTCTTTATATGTATAGTTTTGAAAATCAGGAGGAATCAGCAGAGCTCTTACCTATTCAGCATGACTAGGTAGTTTTAAGCAGCTGCTTTGGGAGAGAGAGAGAGCACTAGCCTTAATATTCGATAGCAAAAAGTACTGATTTTTACATGAGAAGATGAAACTTGTCTGATTCTAGAGTAAGTCAAGAGCTTGAATACTTCTGACTTTCTTTTCATGACATTGGTGCGAATCCTTGTTTGTTTGTTTGTTTTTTTCCCAGGATGCAGGACAGGAGAAGCTAAACTCACCAAAGGATTTAATTTGGCTGCACGCTTCATCATTCACACAGTTGGACCCAAATACAAAAGTCGTTATCGTACAGCAGCTGAGAGTTCTCTGTACAGCTGCTACCGGAATGTCCTGCAACTTGCAAAGTAAGCATATAGCAGCAGCCATCCATGGCACATCTTTTTCTCCTTATGCTTTGGTCTACACAGAGATCTGAGCTGGTTCAAGTCTTGAAGCCGTGTAGTTAGAGCGGTGCAGTGTTCCTCCATTCTGAGGAGAAGTAAATAATTGTGCTGGGCTCCGTGCTGCCAAAAAGGTTTAAAAGAATTTGGTCAGGCAGCAGCTTCTTGTGTCTTTGTGCAGCCATGTGAACGTACCCACAGGCACATCTGACTGCTTCAACAGTGCATATGTTTGGCCTGTCTGCTTTCATACTGTAGCTGCAATTCTGCGTCAGGGTGCAAGGTTATTTCTAAATCAATATTTGCTGCAGGTGAGTTTGTAATTCTTCCTCTCTTTCATCTATGGTGTTTTCTACTTCCTCTTACCTAACAGTTCATCTTTACGGTTTCTGCTTTTCTGTGTTCTGTTCTTCTCCCATGATGGCTGTTGTAATGATAGCCATCATTTAAAAAAAAAAAAGAACAAAACTTGAACAAAAGCAGTGTCAGGAAATATACTTTATATCTATGTAGGGTTGGGAAGATCTGTTCACCCAAGTCTGACTTGTGTGTTACAGCGCAGTAGTAAGTGTTTTGTAATCCAGATTACAGCTAAAGTTTCTAGTGTATATTGTTATTATTGGGTTTTGTTTGCTTGTCTTTGCCTTAAAATTGATGAGCAAAGTCAGAACTGGATTTGAGCATTCTATGAATAATGAAGAAGTATTGATAATTCTGCTTACTAATTTGAGTGCCTTTTAGTCCTTCTATTATCTAGAGTAACTTCTGACGTTTATGGAATTGTTGTCTACCAGCTCTGAGCTAGTTCAAACTCCTCTGACTGTTGACTGCACCTTTGCTTTCCTTTTCAAACAGTGTGGCACTTTCCTGTTCTTGCTTTTCTTAAAGTATATGTCACTCCATGCCAATGATTGTCAAATCATAGCTATGACCAAGTAAGCCATTTCAGTCAGAGTCTGGACTACTGACCCCCCAAAAAAATACATACAAGGTCAGGTTAGGGAATAGGGTATTTGCAGTGAAGAGCACTGGTTTTGTTGTTTTTTGTTTTTGTTTTTTTTCTCCTTTCTTTCCCTTACTGTCAATCCTATGCAGGAAGGAAAGTTTTGGAAAAGATTACAGGGAAGCTGATGGAAGAATTTTCTCATTCAGGATGTGAGAAAATGCAGAAACAGTGTAGCTGAGGTAGAAGAAGAAACTGAGAACAAACATGAGGGAAAATGGTGTGGAATCATTAATGGTTCTCTCAGTTTCTGCTTAATGATGGTAGGCATGTATCTTTCCAGGTAAAAAATTCTTCTGAGCAAACCTAAAGGACATTACTACTACACAGAGGCAGGGAATAAATACTGGTGTTATCTACTAGATTGGTGAAGCTTTGTTTCCATCTGACCGTAGATGATGCTTCTATTTATTTATTTCTCTTTCTGGATTTCAGGGAACAGGCAATGTGCTCTGTAGGATTTTGTGTCATTAATTCATTGAAAAGATGCTACCCCTTGGAGGATGCCACCCACATAGCACTGCGTAAGTCTGTTGGAAAGTGACATAAATTCACTGGTAGTATTCAATAGATTGCTCATCTCTGCAGCCTGGTGTTGATTCAGGAAAGGTTCTTTTTTAGGGGACTGTGATGTGTTAGAGGAGGATATAAAGAGGCAAGCTTTAGATGGGTGAACAGAAATGGAGGATAAAAACAAATGAGCTTTCTCTGAGAGGTTGTCAGTAAGCATCTGTGAGAATTCTTGTTGGAACTTCTACTGTTCGATGTGTTCATTACTGAGCTGAAAAAGATGCTGAAGTGTAAGATGAGCTTGCTTGTAATTTAAAAAAAAAAAAAAGTGTCCACTGTCTATCCTTGTATGGCTCTGCCTTCACACGATGGGCTAATGCTGGAGAGCTAAACCTTGAGGCTGTAGTGATTTCTGCAAACATCAGCTTAACAGAGTTCAAAGGAACAAGCTAAGCAAGGCAGAACAAAACAAAGGACGTTATGCTAGAAATGTGTGGTTTATCCACTTCTGAAGTTGTGTGTTGGAGGAAAAACTAGAAGCTCAGAAGAGGTCAACAAGAGTAGGCAAAGGCAAGGAATAGCAAAGGCTAGTCATCTTCAGTCTGCAATACATTGAAACTGATGGGTGTATCTGTAAGCTCACAAGTGGAATGAAAACGGTGCATAGGAATCAGCTGTTTGCTGTCTCTCAAACTGAGAACTAGGAACTCTAAAAGGATGCTAATATGAACCATATTGAGAAAAAAACAAGGAGAAATGGTTTTGGTTTTGTTTTTTTTTATAATTGCATCATTTGTTGTATGGAACTTATTAGAATAAATTTTTGTGGATTAAAAAAAATTCAAGTTTGGGTTCAAGTATATCAATATGAAATTAAAAAATGGAGGTTACTAGAAACAAACAAACAAAAAGTCCTTGGCTGAAATGACTTTGTGTGTTTTTGCATTCTTTGAGAAGAGTATTATGTATTTGCTTATTTCTTACTTTTCTGCCTTTTTGATTTCTATTGGCCTGCTCCTTCTGTCTGCATTCCATTTATAACTTTTGTATGCTTCTTTAGCATAGCTGACCCTTGAGTTTTTGTGTGTCTGATTTTGCTTTGTACCAACTTCTATATGGCTTGCTGTCAAGCTGCTTCTATGGTAACTGAGGGAACCGTGACTTGTTCTAGGGACGTCTGGTTTTGGCAACTTGCTTAGAACTCAAAAGTCCTTCTCCAAAGGAAGGATTTGGCTTGGTTTTTGCAGGGTGCTTGGTTCGTGTTCAACAAATTGAAGTGTACCCAGTAAGCTAAAATCACAGATTCTTTAATTTTCATATCCATCTCTAAAGTGAGAAGCAGGAGAGAATGAGGATGGAATTTGCGATATGCCCCATTTCTTGTTAAACCACCACTTAATCCATGTTTGTGTGCTGCCCGTGATGCTACTTTGTATAAGAGGGGAGATGTCTCTCTCTATTCTGCACTCCACTGATTTGCCTTGCTTGTGGTCATATGTGTAAATGTGTTCTTCTAACTACATTCGTTCTTCCTTGCAGGCACAGTTAGAAGGTTCCTGGAGGTTCATGGGGAGACTCTGGAGAAGGTTGTGTTTGCAGTCTCTGAGCTTGAAGAGGTATTTTCTTGAAGTTCATTCCATCAAAATTCATAGGCACGCGTGATCTTCTCTGCAGCAGAATCAACTCCCACACAGTTTTGGACTGGGACTCCCACTACAAATCATCCTGTCTCACTTAGACTCTGGTTGTACAGCATCCTTCTGTTTCCTGCCAGCATAGCATCTTATCCAGCACTGCTTGTATTTCTAGAAGTCACCATGTTCAGTCTCTCCATTTCTGGCTTGCCTGTTCCTGAGCTATGAACAGGAGTCGTATTAGAGTTTATAGTACATACTTGTGTTGAATGTGTTCCAGCAGCTAGAACACAGATTTCTTGTGCAAAGCTTGCACCTTATACAGTGTTTTTGTCTTGTGCTTTTAAAAGATTGCCCTGGTTTCCAGTATAACTCACCCACAAATCACATACAAACACCTTAAACATTGCTTGCTGGCTTGTTGAAGTAACAACCTTGATATTTCTTGACTTGTTTTCAGATAGGTGATAACACTTTGAATATTGATTTCTCAATATATATCAGACTTGCTAGTGGTTGTTCCTGTGGAGAACACCAGCACCATTCATATTATGTTTCCTCTGGATGAAGAAAATAAATAACTTAATGGGGATTTGTAGCGACCAACTTTAATCTAAGCATTCTTTGACTCTGTCATCCATGTAAATTCATTACAAAACTGAATTACCTACTTCCTACCTGAGTTCATGACTTCAAAGCAGGATCTTCTCAGTGTGGCAAAAAAAAAAAAAGAAAAAGAAAAAAGAAAAATTAACTTTAAGAAAGGCTATCTGCTTTTATTGCCAAGTAGCAGCCCAAATTAAGCTATCCAGAGAAGCAGTGGTTTGCCTCCAGACCTCAGAGAAGCTCCCTGCTATAAGGGCAGGTGTTATATGTCTGAAGAGTAAGGATGCGTGGTGGACCTTCACGCATTTTTCTTATTTGTAGGCCACTTACCAGAAGTTGATGCCTCTGTATTTTCCAAGATCTTTGGAAGAAGAGATACAATCCTTGCCTTACCTCCCTGCAGATATTGGTAATGCAGAAGGGGAGCCTGTAGTACCGGAACGGCAGATCAGGATTACTGAAAAGCCAGGTGTTCCAGATGGTGAGTTTTTAACTGAATTTTGGAATAAGGTCTCTGTGTGAAAGTCAGGGAAAAAGAGGAAAAAGTGCATAGCAAGCAAAGAGATGTCTTCCCATGCCACCTCATCCAAGACAAGCTGTAACAAAGAATTGTCAAGCTGCCTTGTAAGCTTTGCATGTTCCACAGCAGCAGCTTCTGCTTTCTGCTTCGCTGTGGAGGGTGACTGGAGGATGTGGTAAATCTGTTGTTTTGTTTTATTTTTTTGGAGGGAGAGACAGGGTGTTCATTCCTTCTGCAATTTTTCTCCCGAGTTGGTTAGGACTGTTTTTTCCCCTTCAGAATTGTACCAGTCCTTGACTGATATAAGCATTGTTGTAAATGGATTTTCACACACCATGTCTTGAAATGTTGTCTGCATCTTGATCTGATTTTTGTTGTCGCTGGTACTTAATGAAAATAAGCAGAAACTCTAAAAGGTAGAGGAACTAAATAATTCCGGGTGTTTGAGAAGTGATTGTCAAACGCTTAGGGAATGAATTCAAGTTGTAAAGAGGTTGCCTGAGTTTCAGGATTGGATGTTGAGAGATGAAAATTAAAACAGTGTGAATGGACTTAGATGTCTTCCCCATTAAGTAGTCCTGTGAAAAGTTTGCACTTCAAGTGAGGCCTTAAGCTATGAAAAGCAGAGAATTCAGAGTAAGTTTAAAAGGTTTTATGCTTTTGCATGGCTGGTAGCAATAAAGCTGAGTATGCAAAAAGGATACCAGTAACTTAATTTTCCTGTTTGTGGTACGAGTTATAATGTGGCTATGGCTGTTCAGACTGCAGTTTCTTGTTTGTTTTCTTTTCCCCTCTCTACCTAAACCTCTGGCTAGTGATGTTTGCTCCTTTGACTGATTGCTGTGAGACATTCAACCACTGACTAACAACTTATGAAATGTTTGGTTTAACACATATTGGGGCAAATGCGTGGTGGAATCTTGTGGCCTTTTTCCCATTGTTAGTATAGCATGTCGTACTAGAGCTGTGAAACTCAGTTATTATCTGAACTGCCCAGAGAGGCAGTACCAGAAGCCTCAACAGTTTTCCTTGAGGATGTCAAGTTCAGTGAAGCATTCTCATATTGTTAGCAGCGAGTGAGCCTGTGCTGTTGTACTTCATCTCACAGCCAGGTAGCAGATAATCAAACTCAGGTTATCAACTTGTCTACAGCCTCTGTTACAGCAGTGTCAGTGCAAAAGAAGAGCTGAGCCTTTCCTGCAGTAGAGCTTCTAAACTGAATAAAACTGCAGCACATGTCATTCTGCATGCTTACTTTTCCTCTTTTGACAGCTAAGACAATTGTAAACCTAAATCACTCTCTCCAGACCTTATTTTTGGAGTCCTTCTGAGAGAGTTATCTGTCATTCCCTTTGTTACAAGGGGATAATTGCAACCGGCAAAGTTATTTTACAGACAAACCAACATCTTAAGGTTAAGTCTGCAGTTCTCAAGTATGTGTTATAATCATGGTACATTGTGTTCTTTGTGTATCATGATGAATGGGTTGGCTCACTGAGGTACAGCAATTCAGAAGCAGCACTGCTGTTTCATACGCTGCTTGAACATTTTATGCTACCTTTGTTTCTACTGCAGATGCTTCAGATGAAGAGGGGCTGGAGGCAGATTTGTCTTTCATTGGTTCCCATGCTTTTGCCCGCATGGAGGGAGATGTTGATAAACAGAGACGCCTCATCCTTCAGGGACAGCTGTCAGAGGCAGCACTGCAAAAACAGCACCAGAGGAAGTGAGAATTTCCTTGTCTGTGTGAATGTTTTGGGTTAGCTAGTTGTTCAGAGGACCAACCTTCGTGTTCATTTCATTACCTGTTAAGTCTGGTTTCACCCTCGGTCTCAGTAGCAGCTTCTTTGTTCTGAATGGAATGGGTAGCAAAAGGAAAGCCATTGAATCCACTGGCATGCCCAGTGCACTGGAACAGCTGGCTTGGCTTTTTGCCACATGATGTCACTGCTTTGTCACCACTCTATGTGGTGGGGTCACTGGCTTTAGTATTGCCTGCTTGCTTCAGAGGCTCTGGGCAGCTAGCAGAAGTTTACCTCTTTGTCTCAAAGTAGAAAGATGAAAAAGCTGCAGTATCCATTTATTTCTCTTCTTGTTTTTTTGTTTTCTTTCTCTTCTGCCATTAAACTTAATGTACCCGACCACTTTCAAAGAAGCCAATCCAATATTAGAGGCTGTTGAGGAATTATGTTTGCCATTCCTAGTCAAATTGTTCACCACTCAAAAGCTAAAGTAATACCCATATATGACTCTGGTTGCTGGGTACAACTTCTAGACTCCTTTGCAAGAATTGTATTGTGTACCAGCAGTTGCGTATTCAGTGCCCCAATAAAACTCTAGATGAGTCTGTGAGCACTTTTTTTTTTTTTCCCTCCCTCCCTGACACTACTTTTGCAATTTGAAAGAAGCTCCATTGGTCAGAAATCCATGTTAAGAGAGTTTGTTTTGTCCTTCTCTCCATATATTACTTCAGGCTTTTAATGCCAAAGGGGGAGGAGTAAATTTGACCAGATGTCTTTTCTTTTTCTAGTTACAATCGTTGGCTGTGTCAAGCAAGAGCTGAAGACCTCTCTGACATTGCTTCCCTTAAAGCCTTGTACCAGACAGGTAAATTCAGGGTACTGATGACTGATGTATATTGCCATAGGATAAAAATACAGAATAAAAATGTAACATTTTCTGTATGAGTACAACATATAGTATCATCGAGCTAGGTCAGTGCCCCTGTAGTAAAGCAGGCGTTCTCTCTTAATTGACTTTAGAACTCTGTATGGTAAACTCCCAAAAAGCTTCTCTTTAGCAGGCTGAGGATACTTGCATATTCTAAATTTACCTGCAGAATGTAACCAGTAACATTCTGAAAGGAACAATGAACTCAGTGGGAATGGGAATGTGAAGAACAAACAAACAAAAAAAAAGTAATGTTCTGTGTCCAGTTCAGCAACAATTATAGAGAGTTGCAGTTATGCTTTCTTGCTAGCAGTTTTTATGTAATAAGTACCATTAGGTTAAGCCAATTAGAAGATGCTCTGTGTGAGGTAATTCGTTGCCTGATCTGAATAACCCATTTTCTTGCAAATAAATGAATGTTGCTTTCAAGTGATTAATGCAGAGAATGAGCAGTAACCAAAGCAGCTTTTGATGCAGTTTCTCTGAAGAAAGAGTCTTGTTCCTTTTCCCTCAGTTTGAATTTGAGTCACTCTTCCCTGCATCCTCCTTACAGCACTAGTGGCGTAGTAGCCTGAGAAGTATATCTTATAACCTTGAGTTTGGTAGATATGGAAATTAGGGAGAGAATGAACATCCTGATGAGTTTGGTGGAAAGTATTAGCTGCTAGATCCTTGCAGCACGGGAAGCAGAAGTACGTTCTCGTTCTTTTTCTTTAGGTGGTGTCACATTTGAAGGTGAAACTTGCTGGTCCTAGTGGCTTAGTACTGCTTTGCATCATGACAGAAAGAAGCAAGTAGTCAAGCTTTTAAAATCATAGTTGTGTCTACATAGCCAGTGGCTGTGCAGAGAAAATCTACTCAGAGCTTTTGCCTCCTGAAACTCCAGATGCTTACTATCATCTTTATACAAATACCAAAGCTGTGCGATACCTTTCACTTTGTTTAATTTTTAATTATTTTGTCTTAGACAAGGCGTGTTTTGGGTTGGTATTTCTTGATTTAGGTAAATGTCATGTGCACAACTGATGTAAAATTATATTCCTTGATACTTAAGTTTCTGGGGTATGATGCAACTGCCTTTTCTAGACCAGCATAGATTGGCATAGTGAGAAATAACTCTAGGATACTTCTTCTGATTTCTGAGATAGAAACTGGAGGCATTGTGAAAATTCTGAGTTGTGTTTTCCTGGTTTAAAAAAGGAACAGCTTAGGAATCTGACATGGCTGGGAGATCTTTCATCATGTTATTTTTTTCTTGTAGGTGTGGATAACTGTGGTCGCACAGTGATGGTAGTTGTTGGAAGAAATATCCCTGTAACATTGATAGACATGGAAAAAGTAAGACTTTGTAAAACTAAAGTTGTATAGATTGAATGTGACTTTTGAGAGTTAGATTATAAGAGCAACTTGGAGTTAATACTAGAAGTGTTATGTGTAAATGGCTTAAATGAATCATAGAATGCTCCAAGTTGGAAGGGATGCAGAAGGATCATCAAGTCCAACTCCTGGCTCCACACAGGACTACCTAAAAATCAGACCTACATCTGAGAGCATCATCCAGAGGCTTCTTGAATTCTGGCAGGCTCAGGGCCATGACCACCTTACTTCCCTGGGGAGCCTGTTCCTATGTTTGACTGCTCTCCTGGCAAAGAGCCTTTTCCTGATATCCAGCTTGAACCTCCCCATTGCAGGTTCATGTCATTCCCTAGGGTTCTATTGCTGGTCACCAGAAAGAGTGTAGATCGATGCTTACCCCTAAAAAGTAACTAAAAAATATTTACCTAAACAGATCAAAACTTAGTCCCTATATAATTTCATGTATTTTGGGATGGCTTTTCTGGAGAAGGAACTGGACTGTGTGCAGAGAGACATGCCTTACATGAACTCATTTTTCTTCTCAAAGAGACTCACGTTGCTTCTGTAACTGGAAAACAAAAAGTTAAATATAACAAGTGAAAATAGTTTTTCATGAAAACAGCAGGAATTTATCTCCATCTGTGAAGTCAGGTAGATCAAAAAAGACATTCAAATGACTGCAGTCAAGTTAAAGATTTGGAATATTCACCTTGCTTTTGTGGCTCAAACAGAATGCCATGCAGTTTCATAATTTCTGATCTGTGAATGAATTAGAAGAAGCATATCAAAATACAATGCAACTGTGCAGGAATTATTTTCAAAGAAATAAATTCCATCTTTTTTCTTTTTTCATCTCAGGCTCTTCTGTATTTCATCCACGTCATGGATCATATTGCAGTTAAGGAATATGTGCTAGTGTATTTCCATACACTTACAAATGATTACAATCAACTAGATTCTAATTTCTTGAAGAAACTCTATGATATTGTTGATGCCAAGTAAGTGTCAATATGAGAATAACCCCTCTGTTCTGTGAAAATGTTTGCCATTCCTTTTATCTGTTTTCCCATTTAGTTGTTAAGCTGGGGCAAAGATCTAAGTAACAAAAGCAAGAAGAAGGAATATTTAAACTTTTCAGCTCAGAACGATATTTGAAATCAAGAAGCTCTGTTCTCTGCCATCTCCTGTCTGTAGCTGTTACAGAAATAATTGTATGGAGTTTATTGTCTCTCCAGAAGTGGAGCTTTTGGAGCCTGACATCGTTAGAAGTATGTTTCTAGTTGTGAGGGAAGAGGCTTGGGTAACATTGGCAGTCATAAGTTGTCCGTAACTTTCACTGTCCACATAAAAGATTACAGGCTATTATAAAAAACACTAATAATTCTATTTTTTCTCTTTGCATTTAGTCCTAGTATGTGCCCTTGCTTATACAGAATCTAGCTTTTTAAAATGGCAGCACAGGCACTTAAGCAAAATGATCTGTGTTTTGACAGTTGCTGTCTCAGTGAACATAATTAGATGTCACTTTTAAAGAGCTGTTTTTCTTTCTTTAAACCAGGTACAAGAGGAATTTGAAGGCATTATATTTTGTCCACCCAACATTTCGTTCAAAGGTGAGGTATATAGTAAAAAGAAAAGAAAAAAAAAAAAAAAATTTGGATACTGGCAGAGTAGCATGTAAAACTGTAGTGTAAGGAACATAAGTTATATAGAGGCTTTCAAAATTAGACACTATCTTCTGGCTCCATGAAGAGAATTTGAAATCCATTTCTGCCTTTGATCTAGCTGTAGTCTTCCAGCCTACAGTGCAGTGCAGTTGTCTTGTTCCTATTTTGCTGTCTATATCCTTAACAGAGAAATGTGTCAAGCAGCAATGAGATTACTTAGGATTATAGAGTGTGGAGTAGCAAAGGGAAGTGGGAATAATACTTTTGTCATATGGAGTACTGAAAAATCCTGTCTGTCCTTTAGGAGATGAAAAACTGGTCAAACTGTAAGATGCTATCCTTTGCTATGACCTGTGTGGGGCAACAAAAGATGGCGCTCTTTCTTCTGTATTTTGCATCTATGTGACTACTTCAGATGATCTCAGTGTCAGGCAGCAGCCCTTCCTAAAAATTTTTGTCCTATTAAAAGATTAGAAATATGATCCTCCATGTTCACATCAAGTGTATTTGTTCAATTTTTTTTTTTTTTTTTTTTTTGCTAACATTGATTAAAATGTGATAAAACTATATGTTTTTACATGTTCAGCAGGGAGTTCTCAACTGCTGAATTTCTGAAGATTCTTTTTCTGCATGTACAGCTGGGACACTGTGAGACTTGGAGCTTCTTGTCTTTACACAGATGAGATTGCAGCCTCCCAGCAGTGTATTTTCCATTTTCTGTCAGGATTATTATTTGTTTTCCCCCTACACTCAGACTTCAGATATGTACAGAATTAGAGCTTCCAGCTCTGATGCTTCAGAAAATGAATGAGCAGACAAACAGCATTACTAAAGTTCACAGAATTGAGTGGAAAAGCTGAAGCTGGGAAATGCTCGTGTTCCAGGTTCTCAGCAGTACTTCACCCCCCTCCTCTCTTCCTATGCAACTCTATTTGATTGGGAAATGTTTTGTGTTGGAGGATAGGAAGTCGTGTTTACCAGTCCATTGCCTTTTTTTGTTGTTTTTTGGTCCCTTTGTGAAAAGCAGTGGAACTCGGCAGATCTACAGGAGAAGCAGATAGTTGGCAGAAAGCAGGGAGGATGAGAAAGGCAGAACTCTGACTTGCTGGAAATGTAATTGGTTTGTACCCAATTCTAGCAGCACAGCTGGAGATAAAAGGATATGTCAGTGTCATCCTGACAAGCCATTTTCTTCAACTGAAAGGCAAGAAGGATTGCTGCTGGCTGTTGCAGAGACAGCCTGCTTATGAAATATGATATAGGATATGCAGCAGAAAGTCCTGGTGGAGATGGTGACTGCTATTGAATCCTGGAACAATGAGTGGCTGCTGTCTTTTACAGTTGCAGTGTTTATTTCTGTGCTAAAAGAGATAAGAGAGACTTGGAAATTCACATATCCCTAGAAAACAAGCATTGTTCTGAATGTACTTACATACTTCATGATGCCAAGAAACATTGTTTGGTTTCTAGATATGAAACTTTTAAATTACATATATTCCAAGGCTGACTGCTTATCTATAACACATGGTTAAGTATGCAGGGTTTAGCAATTTCTCAAAAACATGAAGAAGTAGAAGCAGGATATTCCCTACACAGTCAATTTTTGTAGGTTAATTCTGCCTTTTGCTTATGCTTTGATGTGAGCATTTTTATGGTCTGTGAGGAACTCAGTTCTCTTGAGTGGTTTTGGAAAGTAACAATTTTTGCTGTGAAATCACACAACTGGCCACAGTAACAAATGTCACTTCATCTAACTAGAAGGGTTCCTAACTTTCATCATGAGAAGCTTTCCTTCATTCATGAAGGGCAAATGGACTGGATCAATTCCCAGTTTGTTTGTTTTTGGGGGGGGGGGTATTTTGTTATGTTTCGTTTTTAGGTTACCACAATTGTTGCTGAGTGACAACTTGTGTTAAGATACCCTTGAAATACTATACACTTTACTCTTGTACATAAAAGTTATTGCTCTAGCTGTCTACATGTGAATAAAGGGCTCTTTGGGGCATCTTTTTTGTGAGTTCTCTCACCTCTCCATTCATCGCAACAAAGCTTTCTAGAATCTGGTGTGTTATGAGTGAAGCATTAGTAGGTGGTTATTGAATAACCGTACCCAGAGAAATTGTTTACATAATTTTATTAACTTGATTGTGATTTTGGAATGTTTTAAAATTGAAACACAAATTAATATTCATAATCCTCATCTCCATTTTCATTATAAGCCATTTTTCTTGTTTTTCTGTAATGATTGTAAAAGCCATTTCTGGCTGTCAGAAATGTATACAAAAGTTGTTGCAGACTACTTGCAGCTTTTTCCACACGAGATCCTTTTTCTTGTAATGAAACTTTCCTATTGTAATAAGTTTCTCTTAAGGTTATGACCCAACTGAGAGACAGCATATTTTATTTGTTCTATGCTGTTTTCTGGAAGGAAAAAAAAGAGTTGATACTTTTAACGCTGTGGTTTTCTACAGTAGAAAATAGGGAACTTAAATTGGCAGCTAGGGAGGAGCTGGTATGGAGTTGGACACACTAGCTTTAAAGCTCTAAAGCTTGCTGGGAAACAACGGTGTGTTCTGTTTGACCTTGTCGTGTTATTGCAATTATATCAGTGCCTCAGTTTTAACTCAAGCCTATTTTAAAAATATTATGTTGAATGGTAAGGCTTTGAAACAGCACCATCTTAATTAGTTTTTGTTTGGGGTTTATCTTCAGGTCTCAACATGGTTTTTCACTACCTTTACTGTCTCAGGGCTAAAGGACAAGATCCACTATGTGGAAAGCCTTCAGCAGTTATTCACAGCCATACCTCCAGAACAGATTGATCTCCCTCCTTTTGTTCTTGAGTATGATGCCAGGGTGAGTGACTTCATGTGGCAAATATCTGTCTGTGCTCCCAAGTGTACTTATTGTGTGTCTCTTGTTCTGGTCAGCAAAAACTTTTAAAGGCTTGATTTCCACATCTTAAGAATGAGGAAAGCAAAGAGAATGCCTAGTTGTTCTGTATTTTGTATGTACTCCAAGGAGTGGGCTTGACCAAGAAGCAGACTTCGTTCCCAGTGGATTCAGCCTCCTGTATGCATGAGAGAGACTCTGTTTCTTCAGCCAAGAACTGTAGCTTAACATGCTAAGAGCCTGTCTACAATATATAACTTGTCATGCATACGCTATATAATTTACACCTATGTTTAAAGAAAAAAAAAAAAAGAAAAAAAAACTGTCTTTTTTTCTTTCCTATGCCATGTATCAAGTACATGGCAGGGGTGAGTGGGGAAGCAGCAAAGAAGAGTGGAAATCAAGCAGGGAACCTTGCCACAGCATTGGTTCTTCCTCCTTTCTTCCCCATCCCAGGTCTCTATCCAAATGGTGGAATGAATATGATTTCCACTGCCCAAGTCAATTCAAACAGGTTGTGTTCTAACTACAAAGCAACAGCCAGAGCTGCATAGGCAACTTTGTCTTGAACTGAATAACTTGCTCTCCTGGCATTTTTGGCTTCCTTGCATCATAGTTGTGGCTGAATTTTTGACTTCTTGTTGTTGTTGCTTGTTTAAAACAAAGGCAAAACTAAGGCCTGTTTTTTTCTGATCATCAACACAGTCCTGTCCTGGGTGAATTGTGGTCACTGTATTACAGAAGAAGCAGTCAGGAGTACCTCTTTGTTTTTGTCTCTGTATTAGCATCCATTACACTGAGGTGTATTGGAGAAGGTTTTTGTTCAAACTGTTTATTCTATTCTCATTTCAGGAAAACGGGCCTTACTATTCTTCGTATCCTCCATCCCCTGACTTGTGATCTGCAGTCCTGCAATGCTGTTGGTTTCCCATGGATCCAATGACCTGATGTCTGCCAAAACCTGTGCATTTGCCCACAGAATTCAGAGAGAGGGTTTTCCTTCCCCAGCTCTGGTATTTTTTTACTGATGAGATATTTTCAAGCACTCAAGCAATCAGAACACTTTATGCCACTGTGAACTGTACAAGTATTTCAAATATATTTATCCAATGGAAAAGTTGATTTTTTTGGGATCAGTATTTTATTTTCTTCTTTTTTGAAGCTGTTACATTTATTCCTGAACAGACTTTCTCTTTTCAGGGAGATCCATCAAAAACATTTGATTGTGTTTATAACTATTATAGTTTTCCACATCCATTTGTATTTGTACCTGTTTTTGACTGGTTTGTACAAATATTGTGCAGTACCAGCCTGACATATTGCTCATTATATGGTTTCTATGCTTTCATATCTGGTCACTTTCCCTATTGGTTAGTGATGATTACTTTGGTTTTGATGCAGCAAAAGTACCTGAAATTGGGAATACCGTGTTTGCAGGCTGAACAGAACACTGCAGCCAAGCAAAGATTACTGCAGCACTTAGTACCATAAATGCTGACTGAGCTAGGAGCCTGATACAGTCCCAGTCCATCTTCAGTGAATGATGTGACACGTCAGGATGCCACTACCCTCCCAGCAAGAATAAAGTTGAAAAGCATTTACACTTCCTTTATACTCTTCTAGAGTTCTTCATATCTGCTTTGAAATGCCAGATGTGTTTCTATGATACATGAATAGCATCTTTCTGAATCGGTGGAGAGGCCAAGTGGTTTCTTAGAGATATCAGTGACCCTTTTACTTCTTGATATGCTGTTTTACATATTATACTGTATGACATCTGATTTTGACAGACACTGTATACAAGAGTGCAGCAGTGATATTTATGGAATTGGACATTTAAAAGTCTTTCAGCTGCCAACAAAAAGAATAGGGAGGAGGCTCTCTTTAAAAAAAATATCATCAGGGATGATGGAGTCCACTGTAGGAAGAATGTCCAAAAGTTCTGAGTATGAAATGTCATCATGAGATCTTGTGAGGTGGTTAGACTGAAAACATCTCTTTCTCCCAAAGCACTGTATGTTGTTTGGATAAATAGGAAAATAATTCTCCCTTGATTTTGATGTCACAACTTGTTTGCACTTTGAGGGTTTTGGCTTTCTTGTATTAGGAGTACAGTGGAAGATGGACTACACTGAGTTTCCTTTCTCTCCCACCCTGGCCTCCTTTTGGCTTGATGTTGTGTTTAGGCTCCCTATACCCTCAGCGTGTTGGTATGTCAGTTACAGATGAAAACTTGGCTGGGATTTAACAGTCATGCACATACAACTTAATAGTGCTTCTCTAAGTGGCTACCAGGATCTTTATGCAATTCCATTATCAGATCTAAGGTGCTGCTGAAGGCTGGAAACTGTAGCACAGTGGAAACCACCTTGCTGTTAATACGTGGATTACAGATGCTTCTTTTGATGCTTGCCTGTTGTTTTCTGAGAGAGGAAAATAGCAGCAGTCAAGCTGGAACAGCTACCACATGTCCCTAACCTCCTTTCACCTAGCCGTTTACAGCTGCCCTTGTCTCCTAACTGGTTTACAGCCAGCAGTGAATTTTCCATGCCTCTCTAACGATTTGTATAGCTTTCCACCCCCATTAACCATCTGCTGTTTTTCACACCCATGGCATTTCCACCAGGACATTTGCAAAATAGCTAGTGCCCACTTAATAGGCACATTAAAGGTGATTCAAAGTATATTGCGAAAACAGAGCTCTCAGCTTCATCAGTTGAGGCCGTCCCTATGCCTTTAGCTCACAGATGGCTCAGAGTCATAAGACCTGAACGCTTTTTCTTAGGACTCTGTCTGCACGTTTTTCAGACCCGAGCCCAGTCTTTTTAAGAAATTATTTGGCTCAATGAAGTGCAAAACTGTCTCTGGTGCATTTGCAAAGTGAAAAAGGAGATCTTGGCACTGTGTATCTTATTGTGTATATTTTTCCCTTGAAGGACTTTGCTTTAATTTTTATTTTTTTAATGCAAGTCATATATCTGAGTGGCAGGACAGACCAGCACTGTGCTGTGAAAATCATGCTTTTTTCAGTGGATCTGCATTTGTGATGATTTACCACTTGTATATTTACTGGAGCCTATTAGAAGTAATGTATTATGGGGGAGTGAATGGGGAAGGAGATCAAATCATTGAGGATCTCAGGTTATTCAATATAATTAAAATAATCCTAGTATACAAACTGCATTTGTTTTAGGCTGAGATAAACACTGGCATACCATAATTAAGGGTGGATACAATGTGCTCATCTTCAAGAGGCCCAAGAGCACACTCTCTGCACATCTTAACTCTTAGTGTTTTAACAACCCTACCCACTGCAGAATTAAAACTCCTGATGAAAGTCTTGTGCCTTGCTTAGACTATTTCAAACCATCTGTAGGCTCACAGAGGGAGTCACCATAGGGAAGCATATTACTATAATTATGTGAGCATTGTTTTTGCTGCTGTAACTCCCTGCGATGTTGACATTAGACTGACACAGTTACTGTCAGTGAAACTCACATGCAGCACTTAGGCACTTATTTGTTATTAGCTATACCTCTTCTGAAAGCTTCTGAAATTACTTACGCTGTTTTTAGATGTCTTTGGGGCCAGGTTGTGTCAAGCTGATGCCTTACTAGAGTCAGGTGATTCAATCAAAGTCTTTCTGATTACTTGCTGACATTGGCCATACTGAATTTTAAAGCAATTACCAAGGCAGTGAAAGGTAAAGCATTTGGTAGCTGCCTCTGTTCTTCCTGTTGCGTTTTGTGCTTTCTTCTTAAGCAGCTGCTGTTGGGAATAGGAGGTGGCAAAGAGTTGAAGGCAAAGTCAGAATGTCAGGTTTGTGCAGGAGATTGAGGTGGCATGAATTAGTCACGTATGCTTGAAACTGAGCTGCTCTTTTCCTTCATTCTCCTGCTTTCTTAGAATGAAAACAGAGCTGCTGAGTTTTTCTGGCAACTTTGCTTCCCTCATAGTAGCCTAAAATCTTGTTGGTTTTTCTGTCGTAAATGCCTCTGTTGCCTTGTCTTTGTCCTGAATTAGACCTTCTCTCTAGTCTATCCCTGAGCACTTATGTGGCTGCAGTGCTGCAAAGGATTAGCATCCAACTACTGAGACCAGACACTCCATGTGAAATTAATTTAGATGGCTCCGCTATTCAGCAAGCTGATATCAGCCTTTCTCCTTTGTCAAAGTGAAAAACAAGAGTAAATCTTGTTTTTCCCCTTTCTTTGGCCTCTCTGGGATGAATCCTATTAAATCTGTGACCAAGCAACAGAAGCAATAGTCCTCATTTGAAAATTGTTTGCACCTCTAAGTATATTACAGACATTCCTGATTATGTTGATTCTGGCTAAAGGAATCGTAGTGAATTCTGTTACAAGTACTCGGGAGAGGAAGGGACACTATTCAGCTACATTTGAGGGAGTAGTGTAGGAAGCTATCTACCTGAAACAGCTCAGTGCATGATCCTCCAGGGCCAAGGAATTCAAATCTTAGTACGTAGCAGCTGCCCCAGTGAATGTTTTTTTCAGTCTCCCGTGGAACAGAGATTGGCCCCAAGTTAGATAAATGACTGAGTACCCAAACCAAAAGCCTCTGCATTAAGATCAGATGAGGACATGGATGAGCTAAAGCAGCCCTGAACTGCAGTGAAGCAATGAGAAACAAGCAAACCTGCTGCAAAAAGCTATTTCCTTTCTAAGCTGAAAAAGAAAAAAGAAAAAAAAAAAAGATGTTTTATGCTTCAGTGCTAGGATACAGAGCCCTCTTAGTTTGTATGCTTTAAACAAAAGCAAAGTATGGGGTGGTGGGTGAGTGTTCTGTCTCATGGAGTTCTTCCTGAGGGAGAAGGGTGGAATGCTTTGCAAAGGTGAAGGATGGCAGAGATCAAAATACTGCAACCCTAGGCCTTTTGCATGGAGTCTAACTCCTTTGACTACCAGATACCTTTCTGATAAACCTTTGACTACTTGATTCTAGAATCTCTCTAAAATATTTCAAATGACAAAACCATTCACAACATGTATAAGTGGCAAAATTGCCAAGATTCCTAATATAATTTAGACATAGCTATAGGGGAGGTGGCTGTGCTTGGAAGGACATTATGTACAAAAACGAGGGGAAGGGGATTGTATTGGATGATCCACAGCAGCCTGCCTGCCAGCATAACATCTGTTTTTAATTGGCTAATCAGATCCTGTTTTAAGCCTTTCTCAGCTGTGCTTCCCTTGAAAACCAGAGTCCTCATCCAGATGATGTGGGACTGTTTGAGATTTCAGTGCAGTTGAAACAAGAGCAGTAAAGCTTAAATTGTACTGCGTGCTTAACACTTTCACCCAAATTTTATGGGAACCCCTTAATCTAGCTGAAATGTAGACAGCAGACTCTCCACTCCTGCAGTCTATCAGGGATGTGAAGACAAAAAGTAATAAATGCCCATCCCTGTGTTGTGAAAGGAGGAACATCTGAGGCATTGTGCTTCAATGTCTTCTAACACTGATGCTTCTGGGTGGGGCTGTTTGTAGGAATGAGATCTGCTTTGCAACCAAGAAGTCACTAATGGTACATGAAGCCTGGGCCAGGTCTTAGAGAGGTTGTCTGACTAAGTCTGAGGAAAAGGGACTACACCTGGACGAGAGACAGCATCCATACCCAATCTGCATTGTGTTCACATTAGTAATCACAGCCCTGACTCACCACTGCCTGCAGGGAGCTGCTATCTGCTTATGTGATTTTTCAGATCACTGATCAAGTTTGCTGCAGGAAAGTGAAGAGCTCGATCTCAGTCCTTTAGGAAGGTCCTGTAGCTCACTGACAATATGGGCAGCAAATGCTCAAAAGAAAGGGTGAGCATGATCATTTTGCTCTTGCTAGTTTCATTGCTTTGGGGATTTATTTATTTTTTTTTTTTTCTGGAAAGCAATCAAAAGCAGGCTTTAAAAATGGCTAATATAATCATTGACCTTTTAATAAAATCCTGGAGTGATATGCTTAGCATTTCTGCTGGGACTGATCTTGTGGCCTGTCACAAAGCTGTATGTTATATGCTCTGTATACCCCTGGCAGCAGATACCCTGCACTGTGCAGCTTTTCCCCACAGACACATGTGCCTGGCACCTTCAGGAAAAGAGGTTCCTGTG